CTTTTCTCACAGATGAGTTGTGCCCGGTTCCAGTTGAGCGCTCGTAAGTGGGTCACTGCCTCAGCCTGTGCTGATGTAGGCATTCATTAATTTGGAAGTGAATCATGTTTATCCTTATTTCCTTGATGGTAATTCTTCTTCTGTTAATGTTTAACCATCACTCCAGCTGTTTACTGACGTAAGTAAGAAATTAAATGTTTTTATCTTTTTTAATAAAATACAAAATATTCAACCTATTTTTCAATTAAAAATTAAAAGTAATTACAAAATTGTAATGTTTGCTTTAACTTGTCTGCAATTTTTAATTTAATTACATTTACAATACAAGATTCAAGGCATATTACAGATGCATACATTTAGATTACCTAAATTTGTCTTCTTTACACAAATACTGTAGGCAAGTTTGATTACTTGTGAGTCGTGCATCTACATTTTTATATTGAATTCAGCCTGCTTTGATAGATATGAGAATTCAATGTTTTAATATTTTCTGGAAAACATTACTTCATAGTTCCATTTTGTGGCAATGATTTGCAGCATTTTAACAAGCTGATTTTTCCTTGGTTATTTAAATTTTATTTGTTCTATACTGTTTATCTCCTTTCCTTTCAGAAAGAAAACTCATCCAAACCTACAAACATAAAAAGGCATCACTCCTACACACCCTGTAAAGAGTGCTAAGCAGTACAGCTCTCCCCACAGGAAGTTCTGAACTATTTGTGAATTAACTTGTCACCGCACATGTTGCCTGTTCTTTCTCAAAAGGATATGTCAAGAATACGTGACATTCAATTTTTTTATACTTGCATTGATATGCTGTGAAAGTGTCACCCTACAGTGTTCTCTAGAGACTTAGTTTTGCCGATGTAATTAGAGCGGCGATAGAAAAGTAAGATATGTATGTGAATGTATGCTGAAAAAATACTGTCTAAAACAGTAAACAACAGTATATACGTTATACTGATTTATACCCAGCTTTGTTCATCATTTTCTACAGTCATTTTTAAAGATTAAAATCAAAACGTGCCTTAATGAAGAGCATGGAGCAGTTTCTTATCATTGTGCTTGTGGCAGGGGAAATTCATGGTAAGATCATCTTCATAAAGAAGCCAAGCATTAGTATTTGTAGTGTGAATAATTTCAGCTCATGTTCATGTGAATGCATCTTTCCCAGCTCACGTTTCAGTTCATGAGACTACATGTGATCTTACCAAGAACACATGCCCATGCGCTCCTCTTCTTAAAGGAACTGTGTATATCCAAGTGATGACTAATGCTAGTGGCCGTGAAATGAAGTGTTTGAAGGTGCTTCCCATGGTGAACATAACTGTGTTCAATATAAAGAAAGAAAAAATAACAACAGACGAGGAATTTAACAACAGACTACAGTTTATAATCAAGAACGGGACACTCAAGATCACAAACCTGAGGAGGAATGATTCAGGTCAATACAGCATTGAGGTCTTTAATTCAAACGGAGTCCAAGAGAAAAACATTCATTTCACCCTGGATGTTAAAGACAATGGAAAAGTTGAAGGCAAGTTATTGTAACTTATTCTTTATTGTATGTTTTTTAAGCTATTGTAAAGTTAAAGTTAATTGTTCATAATTTCTTGTTTGTTATTGTTACTATTGCCAAACCTCTGCACTTGGGTCCTCTCGTAAATGCTTGATTGCATAGTGTACACTTTAGCAAACAGTAAACAGAAAACCGCAATTTCTGTTTTTGTTAAACATGTGCAAATGCTAAATGAAAAGAAAACTGTAGTTCTTGTAGGTACTAAACACTCAAAATTGTGTAAATTTTGCTTCCGTTTACTTTGCATTGGCAGGTATGGGAACTTACTGTGATGGCAGCCAGGATGAAACTAAGTGCTATGGAGCTTTGGGAGGAACTGTGGACATCCATCTGGGCAGCATCTCGGAAATACTTGAATACCAATTGTTGAAGGATTCATTAAAAATATTTAATGTGAAAAAGACCATGATCAGTTTTAAAACCAAAGAACATAGGTATCTTTTCCTCAGTAATGGGACATTTAGGATCAATAACTTGAGCAGGAGTGACAGTGATAATTATACTCTTCAAGCCTTTGATTCAGATGGAAGAAGATCAGATCAGCGTATTTTACAGTTGTTTATTCAAGGTATTTTTTCTGTTCTGTTGGCAAACTAAATAATATATCACAAACTATCAAATACATGTATTTTGTTCTTTCCTTGTTTCTTTTTAGAGACTATAGAAAATGATTCTGATTTAAAATCTAAACTCATTTGTGTGTGTTTCTCTCAGCTCCTGTGTCCTCTGTCCTGCTGGTCTCTGAGTGTCTGTCCCAGGGAGAGAGGAGGGTGTCCTGCTCCTCTGAGGGAGGGGACAGTCCTCAGTACAGCTGGACTCTGGATGGACGCACACTGACAGATGCTGAGCTCCTTTCTGTAAATAATGAGAGTAACATCATCACTTTGAAACAGCACATCTCAGGACATCTGGTCTGCTCAGTCAGGAACAACGTCAGTAATGTCTCCAAAGAAGAGAGGATATCTACCTGTGGTGAGTGAGGTCTTTGTAAATAATATCTAATACTGAATCAGCAATTCAGTCAGTGTAGGTTCCCAGTCATCCAGCTCATGGTAGTAGTCTCGAGAGCTTGACAAAAGGCAGAAACTGGTCTTTTTTTAGATATTTGTACTGCTACTGTAGTGTGAATATGTATCTGCTCTGACTTGCCCTTGGGAAGTTAGTGACCAAAATGGTCAATTTGTACACCTTTCATAAATCATTTATTTATGGGCTATAAGCTTCATTTTCATTGATTGCATATTAATCAGTTGGACAGTAATAATCACTGATGGCACATTAATAAATTAAAACTTTAATGCAGTGAATTTGTTGATGTAAATTTCTCTATTGTCTCCTTGTGTTTTGCCATAAAAACACATGTTGACTTGTTTTTTTTTTTATTTCATTTATTTTAGGAGCAGGAATTTTAACACTGATGGGTGGTGTTCTCTTAGCACTGATAGTTTTCTTAGTTGTGGGTGTAGCAGTCATCTGTTCTCGGAGAAAGAAACAAAAAAAAAACAAACCTACAAAACAGGAAGGTAAAAAAAACTTTGTTCTTTTTATAATTACATATAACAATTTTTCTTTTTGCTGTTTTTTAAATAAACATTTTTTATTCTTTGCCAAAAGTTTGTTGATACATCAAAAAAGCCAGAAGTGAGCAAAATTAAAAGTCATTTTTTTGTGTGTATCTTGGTCAGAATCAGTGAAACCATTTCACAATTTTCAGTCTGCTGAAGAAATGATGGTAAACTTCTGTTTAGACCTCAAACGATTATTTTAATGACTCATTAATGTTACTTTATTCTTCTTGTTTCTCTGCCGAGGAAGAAGATGACCAGGCAATAAAGTTTACTGATGTCAGTCTCACACAACAGCAAGGAAAGCAAGTTGTCAAAGAGGGGAGATAGAGGTGGAGACAGAGTAATCCCAAGTCACCCACGTGATTTACCCAGGGTTCTGAGTTTTATGATGTTTTGGGGTTTTACTCATTTTTCAAATTAATTTTGTTCAATGGGGCTTTAGGTTCATTGTGGGTAATAGTGAGTTTGGTGTTCAAGCTCAATAATCTTCTGTTCACAATCTACCTTCTGTTTATCTTTGAGTGTCATCTATAGATCTATATTTTTAGTTCATGGTTTCGTTTATAATGTTAGTTCCTTTTCATTGGGAGTAACCAGGATGGACAAGAGTAGAAATTAGTATATTAGAGGCACAGCTCAGGTTGAGCAGTTTGGAGACAACATGGTTGTCATGTTGGACATGCAGAGAGCTGATATGATAGAAGAGGATACTAGGGATAGGAAGACGGACTGCTGGGATTGCCCCTAAAAGTATCAGATGGAAGAAGAAGAGGTATTGCTGACCTGTCCAGACAGTTTATAATAAAACATCAGAGGGTAAACCTCATTTTCTGTTTCTGTCCTCTTATTTTAGTATCTCATTTTCTCCATATACTGTATTGTATATAAATGTAATCATGAACACAGGTTACAAACATTGTACAAACTGCTTTTATTAAAAAATGAATTCATTAAAATATGTGCTGCAGTCTGTGTTCATCAGTCCAGATTTAAATGTAGTGACATAGTAGAATACAACAAAAATAAATAAAAGAATAAAAATGAGGCCTTTCATTTTAAAACCTGCATGTGTGCTTGTGGTTTGTGTAGTAGCAGTTACTATTGCTTCACTTCCTTCTGTGCACAATGACGGGTTTACCTGACATATAACATCAACAAACAGAACTTCAGACAACACTTCAAAACTGAGCAAAATAACAAGCAATAATGTCTGTGAAGGTGCTTCAAGGTTTGACGGAATCTGTTATTTACATTTCTTAAATTAAAAACAATTGTGGCTTAATTACACACTTTTTTTGTAATTTTTGTGTAAACCAACTTCAAAGTGCTTAAAAACCCCTTTAACTTGTTAATTTAATTTAGCTGTAAATATCAAGTGTCGATGAAAAAGCATAATAAGTTGGACAATATTGCACATAATGTCCTCTTTGTATATATCTATTTACTTACTGTATATAATGTTTTTCTCTCTATATTTTGCACAGTCGAGGAGCGTATCAGGTCACATTTCACTACGTGTTATACTTGTATAACTATGTACGTGAAAAATCCTGAATTGAATCTTGAATAAAATTACAAAATTGGTTTAGGAGTTTTAGAGTTTTAGTATCACTAAATTAATGACTGCAGTATGTCTTCTCAGTCTCTGCAGTTGTATTGTAGTCACATCCTGCCTGGTCTGAGTTCACACATTCTTATTTAGAAGCTGATCACTAAAACAGGAAACATGGTCAGAGGTTTTGGCTGTTTGCATCTTAGTAAAGTACAAGGTTTACTTAAAAGCTGCCTGCTCAGTCAAAGCAGGCTGAATAGTGAAGAAACACAGAAACTGTGTTCGTGTAGGTGATACTATTAGTTGTCCTTTGTGGTGAACTGGGTTTAATTATTTGAAACCTGTAGCAACCGTGATATTAAAGACAGTCACTAAATAGATTGTAATGAACGTTATGTGTGAGTTCACTAGGGCAGATCTGTAGTCACTCATTTGCCTGCTTCTCTGTTCTCTTCACCACTGCCACTTTCTCACGCTGTCAGTCTGAATACTGTCATCTTTACTCTAGTCCAATCATCTTCTTACTCACCTTCTTTGGGCTAATCAGTGTCCACTGCACTCTTCATCATTCTCCTTTCCTCATTCATGCAGTTTTTTCAGCTTTTTACATGTAGCATATCATTAATATATATTTACATGTTATATATCAGCGCAAGGGCGAAGATTTGGTTTTGGCATTGGTGGGGACGGATGATTCAGCCACCGAACCCTGCCATGTTTCTTTTTTTTTCTTTTTGTCTTTGCTTCTTAATAAAAAGAGGAGAAATATACTTGCCTACATATGCTATTCTACATGCTTTTAAACCATTTAAAATCACATTCATAGTTTTATATGTGAAATATATAATGTTAAATTACTATTAAACAAATGACTAAGTATTTTAGACTTTAGTTTACTCCGGCCATATTCCATATAAATCAGGTATCATACAAAAATAAAAATAGTTTGAAATACAATCATGACAATAAAAGAATATGACTTTAAGGACTTAACAATATTACTTCATATTATAGTACACCAACATCTCTTATACAGAACTACTCATATAAGATTACCACAAAGTAAAAGATCTCTCAGCAAAATTATGCAACATTTTAGGTACACTACTGCCCCTATAAAATCAGTGAGCTGGGATTTTTTATTCTAAACATGAACTACTGTTACAGCAACAGACATGGACTACTGGTGCCCCACACAGCAACTCAATGTCCACTATGTGAAGCAGCCAAACACATGCCTTCTCCTTTTGTTAGCTGAGATAAAGCTCTGGCATATTTGTTTTACATCTATACTGTCCAGTCTCTCCTGGTGGACAGGTTATTCATGGTTACATACAATTTTAGAATGATGTGGGCCAAGCCTAGCACATACTTACCAACTTTGAGACCTCAGAATTAGGGAGACATTCAAAAGGGCTGTGGGGGTTGGGGGGTGGGAGTGGTATACATATACACAAAAAACTTGAATCTTACAGGGTTTCTTTATCAAATAAAATAAGTTAAATGTCACCGTTATTATTGTCCGGCCGGAAACAGGCCGGGGGTGTCCAAATTCCGAAGCTGCGTCCACCTGAGGACCCGGCCTTCGACTGTATCAACAAAGGCTGAACACTGAGCAGACATGGAAGCTGTAGCTGGACTGTTGTTGATGTTGTTCGGGGTTTCTCATGGTGAGCTACAAAACTTCTTCATTAATACCTAATCTTATAACAATGAGATGTTTTGCAGCCACGGAATCTAGTACAGTCCATAAAATAAGTTTGGAACAAAAACAACAACAACAAAAAATTAATTTTTCCAGCTTGCTTGGCCTGCTTTTCTTTAAACATTAACGTGCCATTCTGAGATCATTGAATATGCAGTAAACACATATAAGTAAATACAACTATGACAGATTACCTCATTAAACAACTGTTCTATTTCACACCAGATATTTTTACAAAGTACAGACTATGTAAAACATTTGATGATGGTGTGGTAAGGCAACATGCACAGCTGCAGAGTCTAAAAGCTACAGCAGCTAAATACAATTCAGACATTTGTTTTGTCGTTTGGAAAATTGCAATTTTCCAGCTAGGTTTTGTAAATTTTCATCTTGATGAATATCTGCACAAGGAAACTAGAGCTGCTAACTTACCCCAAACTATGTTTCAGTCACAGACCTGTATAATACGTATCTGTTCACAAATAAAAGCTTTACACTGTTTGGACTTAAACAGACAATCATCAGAAAATGTAACCACAGTCCTTCTGGCAGGGACTACAAACTAAAATCCACAAGTTCCTGTGGACAATTTTCAGATGCATATATTTTTTTTGCTTTCCCAGTTATTCATTGGAGACCAAAATCCTGTCACAGTATCAGAATTGATCTGTGTGTTTCTCTCAGCTCCTGTGTCCTCTGTCCAGCTGGTCTCTGAGTGTCTGTCCCAGGGAGAGATGAGGATGTCCTGCTCCTCTGAGGGAGGGGACAGTCCTCAGTACAGCTGGACTTTGAATGGACACACACTGACAGATGCTGAGCTCCTTTCTGAAAATAATGAGACTAACATCATCACTCTGAAACATCACATCTCGGGACATCTGGTCTGCTCAGTCAAGAACAATGTCAATAGTGTCTCCAAAGAACAGGAGATATCTACCTGTGTTGAGTGAGAACATTGTAAGCAGTATCTAATAATGAATCAGCAATTCAGTCACTGTAGTTTCACAGCAATCCAGGTCATGGTAGTCTTGAGAGCTAGAGATACTTGTACTTCACTCTGCCACACAAGGTGCCCAAGTGCTACAGCCTGTATTAACAATAAGTAAAAGGACTGTTCAGCTCCAAAACTGTTGCTAATTTTGACCTCACGTGTGAGACGTCTTGTAGACATTGTGAGATATTGCTTGTGCCTTGTGCAGAGTGTCCTACCTCAGCAGAAGGTGATATTATCATTATTCATGCCAGTATTTGTAACTTTACTAATTATAGAATTATCTGTTTGTGTCTCTGAAAATCACACACAATTTATCACATACATACAGCACGTCTCAGGACATCTGGTCTGTTCAGTCAGGAACAATGTCAGTGATGTCTTCAAAGAAGAGACGATATCTACCTGTGGTGAGCGAGGTCTTTGTAAACAATATCTATATATATTTTTTTTTATTATTCTTGCTAAGAGTTTATTGATATCTGTTATGTGTCAGTTAAATATGCAAGTATTGTTAACCACCTACCTTTGACACAAAGTGTTGGAAATTTTGCCCAGCTTTGTAAAGCTTAAAGCTCCCAAAAGAATGTTAAAAGTCATGTTTTATTTATTTATTTATCTATGTAAAATGCGAATCATTTTTGCATCTTTGTGGTAAAACTAACTTTTTCCTTACAGGGACATTTTTTGACTATTAGCAAACAATTTCATAAAACATGAAAATATTTATTTAATCATTCACTGACTCTATGTGCTGCTCTGCAGAGAATGGAGATGGCCAAGAAGTCTATGCTAATGTTGATGTTGTGGCAGGTGAAGCAAAGGGAGAAAATAGCAGAGCTGGAGTTAATCAAGTCTTCAAAATGAACTTGCCAGACTGAAACAACAGGAGATGGTTTTGTGTATACTAACATCCAAAATATGCACAGTAATTTAAGCGGTCACTACTTTTATATAGACTGCATCACTCAAAGTCCATGGACGGAGGAGGTGATGCCAAGATTCCTAGAGGTCTTTCAGTTAATGTGATTTCCCATCGTACAAATATAAACCATCAAGGATCATACTTATTGATTTATTAATTTATCTTATTTTCACTGTATTGTGCTAAATGGTTCTGTTGTTAGGGAACCTCTGCATTTACTGTTACACTACTACTGTGACTGTTTTCCACACAATTTTTAAATAATTAAATTTAAAATAATTTAAATCATTACATTTTGTAAAAAATTCAGTGCAGAAAAAGTTTTGGTCATTGATAAAAGATTCAAATGCCCACAGCTGACTTTTCAGTCACAGAAGAAGAGAACACGTTATATTAAAGTTTTAAGTAATAATAATTAAATACAAAATTAAAATAATAATAATAATAAATACTGAGCTAGTCGTTATTCTATTATTACTTCAGTGTTCGGTTTTTAATCCTTGTGCCCTTTGCACACCTTCATGTACAAAAATGCACATCTGCCACGAAATTCTCATATAATAATATATATCTTTGCTTTTTTCCATAAATGCTCAACTTAAGTCCTTTTCCAAATGATCAAACATTAAATTATTTTCAGGATTTTAACCCTTGAAATGCCAGTTTAATGGAGCCGTGTCAGTACCAGGGAGCCCCAAGAGTGATTTGTATGAATTTGTGTGTGAAATAATTTACAAATCAACATCTGATAATCAATGGGAACATTTATTATGCAAACTGCAACAACACTGAAAACTTCAACAAAAAAGAAAACATAACAGAACATATGAAATATGAACACATTTGAAACCAAAATATCCAGGCTTTGGATACGTGATGTATCCAAAGCCCTCAAGGCTTTGAGAGGATAGATCTTGTTTTAGGGAACAAGGGTTACCTTCAGTATGAAGAGAGATGAGATTTCCTGCTAGGGCTTTACAGAGGTGTTACTGTTGTGCATAAATAAGTTCTGTATTTAGCGGAATTCATTATTAATTACTTATTTCTGTCTATGACACACTTCTTGCTCTTACAATAGTGTGACTTTGTTGTACATTTCTGGGGGACTGGTGTACTACACTCGCACCAGATTGCCTGTAAGGATGGGTGTTTATTATCATACAGAAAAAGGTTAATTTACATGATCACACTCTGTGTACTTGACAAAAGTGACAAGGTTAATGTAAATGATGAACAATTCTGTCTCAACGGGAGATTTATTGTAAACTAAATTTCTTTTATATAAATTTACTCTTAACTATTGTGTTTACACATTTTTGAACTGTAGAACTAGATCTCGGTTTGTGTAAATATACGATTTTTTCACAATTTTCAGCTTTCTGATCCTCCTAATATTAGTAGAAGACATTTTTTACTGTCCTCTTGGCAAAATTTCATTTATGTAGTAGACACTTTAGAATTAAAAGGGTCTTGCCAAAAGAAAAGAGCATTCAGATGTTTGTCACTGCTATTCAGGGTGATCTTGTAAGAAAATTAATTTTAGTTAGCTTCACAAAAATAGTGAAGCTCCTACAAAATCTATATATCATTTCTAAACTCAATAGATTTTGAACTAATTATGTAAAAAAAAAAACAGGCCTGTTAGTTCAAAGTAGGTGTGTTTAAAAGCCCTGTACTACTTGAACTGTTTCACTGCACCTCCCTCAAAGTGGTAGCTTCTATCTCTTCTCTGTAATGCAGGAAGTACTCGTGCATGGGTGTCTTTTCTCACAGATGAGTTGTTCCCAGTTCCAGTTGAGTGCTCATGAGTGGGTCACTGCCCCAGCCGGTGCTGCTGTGTGCATCCATTAAATTGTAAGTGAATCATGTATGTCCTTATTTCCTTTATGACAATTCTTCTGTTAATGTTTACTATCACTCCAAGTGTTTACTGAAGCAAGCAAGAAATTAAATGTTTTTGATTTAATAAAGTCAAAAGACGTCTTCTTACTTTTAAGTAAAAATTAAAACTAATCACAAAATTGTAATGCTTGCTTTAACTTGTGAAGAGGGCAGTTTAATTACATTTGCAATACAAGATTCATATGGCATATTACAGCTGCATAAATTTAGATGAGCTAAATTTGTCTCCTTTTTTCACAACTACTGTAGGCAAGTTTGATTACTTGTGAGTCATGCAGCTAAATGTTTGTATTGCATTTAGCCTGCTTTGATAGATACGAGGATTCAATGTTTTAATATTATCTAGACAACATTACTTCACAGTTCCATGTTGTGGCAATGATTTGCGTAATTTTAACAAGCTGGTTTTTCCTTGGTTATTTACATTTTATTTGTTCTACACTTTTTATTTCCTTTACTTTCAGAAAGAAAACTCATCCAAACCTACAAACATAAAAAGGCATCCCTCCTGCACACCCTGTAAAGAGTGCTAAGGAATACAACTCTACCAAACAGGAAGTTCTGGACTATTTGTGAATTAACTTATCACATTACATTGTCTGTTCTTCCTTAAAAAGGACATGTGAAGAATATTTGATTGACATGCTTTGAAAGTGTCATCCTACAGCGTTGTCTAGAGACTCAGTTTTGCTGATGTAACTAGAACAGGGATAGAAAAGTAAGATATGTATGTAAATGTACCCATATGGAAAAGACAGACAGATAAAGTTTGTATCTGTCTTGTGTGAAACTTATATGAAAAGCATACAAGAGTGAAAACAGATATAAGATCCCTTGAAAAATCATATAAATGAAACTTGTATGTTTTGGATACTTCCTAAAACAATATATGAAAGTAATGAGAAAGTGGCCACTTTCATGAGTAAATCATATAAGCCTTATATGATTCACTGTATGAAGTAGGCCACATCTTATGTAAGTGTTTTATAAGTTTTTACTATTTCTTTTCCATATGGGTATGCTGAAAAATCTAAAACAGTAAACAACAGTATATACGTTATACTGATTTATACCCAGCTTTGTTCATCATTTTCTACAGTCATTTTTAAAGATTAAAATCAAAACGTGCCTTAATGAAGAGCATGGAGCAGTTTCTTATCATTGTGCTTGTGGCAGGGGAAATTCATGGTAAGATCATCTTCATAAAGAAGCCAAGCATTAGTATTTGTAGTGTGAATAATTTCAGCCATGTTCATGTGAATGCATCTTTCCCAGCTCACTTTCCAGTTGATGAGACTACATGTGACCTCAGGACAAACACATGCCCATGCTCTCCTCTTCTTAAAGGAACTGTGTATATCCAAGTGATGACTGATGCTAGTGGCCGTGAACTGAAGTGTTTGAAGGTGCTTCCCATGGTGAACATAACTGTGTTCAATATAAAGAAAGAAAAAATAACAACAGACAAGGAATTTAACAACAGACTACAGTTTATAATCAAGAACGGGACACTCAAGATCACAAACGTGAGGAGGAATGATTCAGGTCAATACAGTGTTGAGGTTTTTAATTCAAATGGAGTCCAAGAGAAAAACATTCTTTTCACCCTGGATGTTAAAGACGATAGCAAAATTAAAGGTATGTTTTGAAACTTACTCGTGATTTTATATTGTAAAGTTAAAGTTAATTGTTCTTGGTTTCTTGATTGTTATTGTTACTATCACTAAGCCTCTGCATTTGGGTCCTCTCTGCTAAACGCGATCTGTGCCTGCAGATCATGACAGGTTAATCTCACTACAATAGGTTATTATTCTTATCAGTGATTAAGTCGTAAATTTTATACTTTGAAGCTACACTGAAACTTTCCACTTGGTCAGTGAGTATTATTATTAGCTGCACTAAATGAGGGCATTAACCTGTGTGGTAAATATGGTTTTTTCATAGGAAATATACAGTGGTTTAACAGAAGTGTGTGTTTTCATGAGTCACACACACTATCTGCTGTGGTGTGGTATGGAGAGGTTTAGCAAATAGTAAGAATAGGAACAATAAACTTCATTTGCATAGCACTTTTCTTAACAATGTGGATTACAGAAAGAATAAAAAAGATTTGATGATAAGAAAAAGAGTTTTTAACATCTAAATTGGTGTTAGTTATTAAGTATTAAAATTCAATCACAATGTTAACTGTGTGATTATCATTGAAAAACATGGAGCGTGTATATCTCAACTGACTGATATAGACTGATTTTATCTATTTGTAACGTGATGCCTCAGGCTCATAATAAATTGGCTCATTTCACATTAGGCTCTTCTGTGTTACGTTGTTTTCGAAGAGCACAATCTTCATTACAGTCAAAGTTAAACAAAAAAATGTAGGACATAATTTATGTAATATAATAATCAATTAACTATTTATTTACCAAATTAGGTAAATTTTAGTTATTTTATTTTTAAATAGATTTCTTATAATCTTGCAAAGGAGTTGTACCAATGAGAGTACAAATTGTGTTTGCAATATTATTTAAACTGTGACAGTAAAGCTGCAAGTAGCTTATAAAAATTGTGTTTTTAATGAACTCTGTGTAGAATAACTATACATAAATATGTTGTTAGATGTTACAGGAGGAGAAACCTGAAAGACCACAGGAAAATTTCTTTTCATTTCACCGTTTCTTTGTTAGGATTAAGTACTAGAACTACTTGGTTGATTTTAGTAAAAAATCTGGTTTGGATTGAAATGCATCCACACACCACTCTGCACCTCAAAAAATGATACTTGGTGTGCACAGCTAAGAATGTGTTTCACACTTTCTACTTACCATTTAGTTAACAATTTTTCAAAAATTACATAATTTCAACAGTAATTTACAGTTAAAGTAAATAATGGCAGTGACAAGGTGGACCCAAGTGCAGACACACAAAGAGAGAAAACTTAATCTTAACAGAAAACTAGCCGTTTATTAAGGCTGAAAAAAATAATACAAACACACACACACACACGTACATATATATATATATATATATACATATATATATATATATATATATATATACACACACACACACACAGTATATATATAACCCTGAACAGGTTGCCAGAATGTCAGAATAGAAATTAAATCGTTTAGAACTATAATTTTCACAGTCCTCTGTGAAGATATGAAATATTGAAAGATTTACGATTTTCCAGCAAATTTTTTAAATATTCATCTTGAAAAAAAGTAAATAAATGCTTGTTTGCATAGTGTGCACTTCAACAAACAGTAACCTGAAAAACATAATTCCTGTTTTAGTTAAACATCTGCAAATACTAAAAAAAATTAATAAAAAAAAGCAGTCATTCTTGTCAGGACTGAACAATCAAAATTGTCAATTTTGTTTCTATTTACTTTTTATTCACAGGTATGAAAACTTGCTGTGTTGGCAGACAGGATGGAACTAAGTGCTATGGAGCTTTGGGAGGAACTGTGGAGATTCAACTGGGCAGCATCTCAGAAATGTTCAATGTGAAAAAAATATATAATAGCACAGAACATAGACTTTGTTTTCTCTGTAATGGAACGTTTAGGATCAATAACCTGAGCAGGAATGACAGTGCTAATTATACCCTTCAAACCTTTGATTCACGTGGAGAAAGTTCAGTCAAGTGGACTTTACAGTTGTTTATTCAAGGTATTTTTTCTGTTCTGTTGGCAAACTAAATAATATATCACAAAATATCAAATACATGTATTTTGTTCTTTCCCTGTTTGTTTTTAGAGACTATAAAACATGACAGAGATTCTGATTTAAAATCTAAACTCATCTGTGTGTGTTTCTCTCAGCTCCTGTTTCCTCTGTCCTGCTGCTCTCTGAGTGTCTGTCCCACGGAGAGAGGAGGGTGTCCTGCTCCTCTGAGGGAGGGGACAGTCCTCAGTACAGCTGGACTCTGGATGGACGCACACTGACAGATGCTGAGCTCTTTTCTGTAAATAATGAGAGTAACATCATCACTCTGAAACAGCACGTCTCAGGACATCTGGTTTGCTCAGTCAAGAACAACGTCAGTAATGTATCCAAAGAAGAGAGGATATCTACCTGTGGTGAGTGAGTGAGAACACTGTAAGTAGTGAATCATCAACTAATTCGGCGTAGGTTCCCAGTAATCCAGCTAATAGTAGTCTTGAGAGATTGACAAAAGACACCAACTGGTCTTCTTCAGATATTTGTACTGCACTCTGCTACACAAGGTACCTAGAGCTGAGGTCGGCCTACTGAAAGATCTAAACAAGGACACATTCCTGTCAGTCATTAGTAATGTCTGCAGAATTCAATAATTGTTTTTCATGTGTTTTTTTAAGTATTCTTTAATTGATCTAAATTAAATATTAAAGTAACCCCATCAGTCAATAATACTGACTTAACAATTATAAAGTAAAACTAACTTTAATGAAGTGGATTTGTTGATGTCCCCTGTGTTTTGCCATAAAAACACATGTTGACTTGTTTGTTTTTTTATTTCATTTATTTCAGTAGCAGGAATGTTACCATTGATGGGTGGTGTTCTCTCACCACTGATAATTGTCTTAGTTGTGGGTGTAGCAGTCATCTTCGCTTGGAGAACAAAACAAAACAACAAGGGTACAAAACATGAAGGTAAAAAAAATTAATAATTTTTACTCACTTTACTGCAATTTTTATTTTTTCACTTGTTCATTTAGGGATTTTGCTCTTTTTATAATTACACAGAACAATTTTTTCTTTTACTGTTTTCGAAATAAACCATTTTGATTCTTTGCCAAGAGTTTGTTGATACCTCTGCCATAAAGAGCCAGAAGTGAGCATTATTAAAAGTCACATTCTTGGGTGCATTTTGGTCAGAATCAGTGAAACAATTTCCATTTTCAGTTTGCAAAAGAAATGATGGTAAACTTTAAGAAATCAAGTTTGATAAAAACTCTTATTATTTTAATAACTCACTGATGTTACTTTATTCTTCTTGCTTCTCTGCAGAGGAAGATGACCAGGCAATAATGTATGCTGATGTTAGGTTCACGCAACAGCACGGAAGGCAAGTTGCGCAAAGAGTGGAGATAGAGGTGGAGGCAGAGTATGCCCATGTCAATTCTTCAAAGTGACCTTGGCACACGCCAAGGTTCATAAAATCAAGGGATTTCAATCAGTTAAATCAGTGCTTTTACACAGACCGCACCACTGAAGGTCCACCGAGGGAGGAGGTGATGTCAAGATACCCCAAGATGAGGTCTTTCATACAATGTAATTTCCCATCACACAAATCATCAAAGCTCATAAAATCTTGTCTTTCTAATTTTCACTGTTTTCCAAATTATAGCACGACATATGTGTATCCTGTATTAGGTTACTGCTAGGTTTGACTATAGTACTGTAAATGTTTTTTTGTAAACAAAGGTTATGACTGTAATATAACATAAAATTTATTTCAATGCAACAAATGTTTGGGCAGTGATGAAACATCCAGATGCTAACAGCTTCTCCTGTAGTTGCAGATAATTTCCAGTGTAAACAAAGACACTTTCCTTACTTATTTAAATACAGTTTAGATTAGATATTTCTATATAGCACTAAATGAGCATCTCAAGAAACATTATGCAGTAAATCCTTAGAGTATTACATATTTTAATACTGTCAAACTACTTGTTATAGTAGTAATAACATTATTATTAATGTATTGTCATCAGTCTGGATCCAGGGATGGCAAATTTTCAACACTGTGGCAATAACCTAGGATATAGTTTAATACACATTTTAAATGTTTTGAGCCTCAGCCTCAGTACAAATATCAAGGAAATGTTCAAAGCCAGAATAACATTTATGCAGTTCAACTCTGCTTCTAAAATCACACGGTTGTTGTTGTTGTTTTTTTTGTTACATTTGCATGTTAGAGCTTCTTCTTTACTGCACTGTAACAGTATATTTGCAAAATGGATTAACACTTAAACAATGAATTTGGTAATTATAGACATATTTACAAAGATTGACATGCATGAATGAAAGATAATTGCTTGAATGTTTGAATGAAACCTTTAATTAGCACTTTCTAATAATGTCACACTATTAAGCATTAGCATTAGTGCTCAATTCATCTATATGCCATTACTCCTCCTTAGTGATTGGTTCTAAGCCGCTTCTTGTCCGGAGTGCTGGTGGACAGGTTGATGATGTAAGGCAGGAGACTCGAACTTGCATGTTCAAAGAGCTAATATGATAGGTAAAGATGCTAGGGATAGAAATACACAAGATGGAGCCCGGCGATTTCCTGGGACAGCCCCTAAAAGTATCAGATAGAAGAAGAAGAAGAAGGCGTTATTTTTGTAGGGTTTGAAAGCGTTAGAACACTTTTGCAAACATGTGATGTCTTGATAAATTGAGCAGATATTGGAAGTTTACACAGCACCATTCTCACCTGAAAATATCTTAAAAGTTTATTTTGTAATCAAGAAAAAGTAATATTTCAAACTCTGCCACTCTGCGTTCCTCCACCACTGCCTCGTTGGAGTTTTGGATTAAATGAATTCTGGGATATTTGCCTGGGTTTACCTACAGCAGCTAGCGAGCTGATTGGAGACCAAAACAGCCAATCAGAATTTTTTGCATCCAAATCTGTGATTGGCTGGTTTTGTGGCACAAATATAACGGTGTACAGAAAGAGTTGAACAGGCAGGGGCAGAAATGTTGAGAGCGCAAGCAACACATTGCGAGCAAGAGCAAATGAAAAAACTGAGCAAGAGGGGTTGCTATTGTGTGTGTGTATGGAAAATAGCAAACACCAAAATACATTTTTGCACACAGCAATGAATGAATTTTGTTTGCTCAAATTTAGCTTTTCTTCACTCAAAATAAATTTCTCCTCAAAATGCAACACTTGCACCTGCAAATTTCTTTTACATGTGCTCAGAATTGTGGCACAAAAATAATATTAAAAGAAGAAGAGGTAATCCTGAGCAGACAGTTTATAATAGTTATGTTCATGTTTTCATTTATAATAAAACATCAGACGTTAAACCTCATCTTCTTTTTTTGTCTTCTTATTTTAGTGTCTCATTTCCTCAATATACTGCTTTGTATTGTAATGTAATCATGAACACAGACAAGCATTG